GTGTGGAGTCACCGCCCCCGCACTCAGCCAGTGAGCGCACTGGCCATTCCTATATACGATCTGAACCCGCGGCGGGAGCGTCGCTGCACTCCCAGCGCCGCACTCTCCCGAATGCTCCACGGGCTCAGCCCAGGAGGTGGGGGTCTTTAAGAGGCGATTAACCCGCACCGCACTCAGCCAGTGAGCGCACTGGCCATTCCTATATACGATCTGAACCCGCGGCGGGAGCGTCGCTGCGCTCCCAGCGCACTCTCCCGAATGCTCCACGGGCTCAGCCCAGGAGGTGGGGGTCTTTAAGAGGCGATTAGGTCATAAGGGCTCTGCCCTCACAAATATATTAATGCTGTTATTGCAGGAGTAGGTTCCTGATGAAGGATGAGTTTGACCTTCTTCTCTTTCTTTCTCTCTCCCTCTCTCTCCCTCACCCATGTGATGCCTTCCACCACATTGTGATGCAGCAAGAAGGCCCTCATATGATGTCCAGAATCATGGCCAGTCAATTTCCGTTCATTATAAGTTACCCAGTCTGTAGTATTCTGTTATAGCAGCACAAAACAGACTAAGACACTGTATCAAGTTGAGAATGCACATACCTTGTGCCAGCAGTTGCCTTCCTGGGTGACGCCCTTAGAAGAAAATGGATGTGCATGAGTATCCAAGTGTAATCAATGCACAAAACCAACCATCTAGGTATCCAACAGTTGAAAGGGTAGGTAAAGTCTGATGTAGTCATATAATAGAATAATATATAGCAGTTAACTGGAATGAACTAGAACTTCATCAACATGAAAAAAATTATGGTGAGCAAAAGTGTGTCAAAACGATAGTGGAGGGCCGGCCCGGTGGCGCACTGCTGTAGTGCACCGCTTGGGAGCGTGGTGGCGCTCCCGCCGAGGGTTCGGATCCCACATACAGACCGGTTCCCGCTCACTGGCTGAGCGAGGTACGGGCGCAACACTGAGGGTTGTGATCCGTTGCCGGACACGAAAATAGACAAAAAGGAAAAAAAAAAAAAAACACAATAGTGGATACCTGGGTGTTGATCATTCCCTGTATTTGTCTTCATGCTTAAATACTTGTGTACAGGGCCCAGGGCAACACAGTGAGCATTCATACCCGAGCCTAAGGCAGCAAGGCCCTGCTGGGTTCTCACTGCCGTATATGCTTGTCCCTTTGGTAGAGGATGCAACTTGTTCCCATGACTCCCTCTCTTTTCTAGTAGTATTTCATGAAATTATTGATAGGGTTGGGTTTAGGTCTACCATTTTGTTCTCCATTTGTCTCATTTTTCTTCTCCCATTTCCCCTTTCCTACATTCTCTTTCATTACTTGAATAATTTTTAGAATTCCATTTAAATTTATCTTTTGGTATTTTAACTATATCTCTTAGCAGTATTTTATTTTATTTTATTTTTTAAAAGATGACCGGTAAGGGGATCTCAACCCTTGACTTGGTGTTGTCAGCACCACACTCTCCCAAGTGAGCTAACCGGCCATCCCTATATGGGATCCGAACCCACAGCCTTGGTGTTATCAGCACCACACTGTCCCGAGTGAGCCACGGGCCGGCCCTTTTTAGCAGTATTTTAGCATGGCTTTAGGAAGTGAAACATCCTTACTTATTCACAATATGTTTAGAGTTAATATTGTACCACTTTATGTACAAAGTAGAGCCCTTTAGTCTATATGGGTCCTTTTATATAGGTCCCTCTACTCCTCCATCCCTTGTTTTATGCTATACTGTCATATGTATTACGTCCACATACATTATTAATGCCATCGGACAATGTAATAACTTTTGCTTTAAACAGTCATATATATTTCCCAGAAATGAAGAGGAAAAAAAACCATAAAAAAAAAAGAAATTCTCCATTTATTTACCATTTCCAGTGCTCTTCAATCTGTCCTGAAGTTCCAAGTTTCTCTTGGTATCATTTCCCTTAAACCTGAAGAATTTCTATTAGTATTTCTTACAGTGCATTTGCTGGCCAGAAATTCTCTTAGTTTTCTTTCACCTGAAAATATGTGTTTTAACATCTTGAAGGATACCTTCACTGGTTATAGAATTCCAGGTTGACCGTTTTCTTTCAGCATTGTAAAGATGGTTTCACTGTCTTCTTGCCTCCATCATTTCTGATGAGAAATCCAGATTCGTTTGAATGAGAATCCCTGGTTTGTAAAGTCTCTTTTGTTTCTTTTGGGAGCTGGTCGGTATGGGGATCTGAACCCCCGACCTTGGTGTCATCAGCATCATCCTCTCCTAAGTGGGCTGAACCAGCCAGCCCTGTAATGTGTCATTTTTGTGAGGCTACTCTCACAATTTTTTCTTCCATTTTTGGTTTTCATATTGACTATGATGTCTAGTTATAATTTTCTTCAGGGCTGGTCCGTGGCTCACTCGGTAGAGTGTGGTGCTGATAACACCAAGGCCACGGGTTCGGATCCCGTATAGGGATGGCCGGTTAGCTCACTTGGGAGAGCGTGGTGCTGACAACACCAAGCCAAGGGTTGAGATCCCCTTACCAGTCATCATTTAAAAAAAATAATAATAATAATAATTTTCTTCATATTTATCTTGTTTAGGATTCACTGAGCTTTTCTTTTTTTTGTCTTTTTTTTTTTTTTCGTGACCGGCAACGGATCGCAACCCTCAGTGTTGCGCCCGTACCGGACCGGGACCGGCTACGGGATCGCAACCCTCGGTGTTGCCCCCGCTCCTCGCTCAGCCAGTGAGTGGCCGGTCTGTATGTGGGATCCGAACCCTCGGCGGGAGCGCCGCCGCACTTCCCAAGCGGCGCACTGCTACAGTGCGCCACCAGGCCGGCCCTCACTGAGCTTTTTAAATATGTAAATTTCTATCTTTTGCCAAATGTCAGAAGTTTGGGGGCTATTATTTACTCAAATATTTTTTCTTCCCTAGTCTTTTCTCTCCTTCTGGGACTTCAATTGCATGTATATTAGACCTTTTGATAGTGTTTCACAAAACCTTGAGGATCTTGCTACTTTAAAAAAATTTTCTTTCCTCTTTCTAGACTGGATAATTTTATTTTTCTTTTTTTTTTTAAAGATGAGCGGTAAGGGGATATTGACCCATGACTTGGTGTTGTCAGCACCACGCTCACCTAGTGAGCTAACCAGCCATCCCTATATGGGATCCGAACCCGTGGCCTTGGTGTTATCAGCACCGCACTCTCCCGAGTGAGCCAAGGGCCGGCCCCCTAGACTGGATAATTTCTATTAATCTATTTCCAGTTCATTGATTCTTCTCTCTTATCTCCATTCTGCTACTTAGTTCGTTCAGTAAAGTTTTTATTTCATAGTCTTATTTTTTAGTCCTAGAACATCCTGTTGATTCTTTTTTTTACATTTCCTACCTCTCTGCTGAGACTTCCTATTTTTCATCACTACACATATCCTTTACTTCAATGGGCATAGTTGTAATAACTGCTTTAAAGTCTTTGTCTGCTCATTCTAGCATTTGGGTCCTCATGGTCATCTTGTCTTTCCCCCTGAGAATGGGTCGCATTGTCCTGATTCTATGTATATCAGGTAATTTTGTATTTTCTGGTTGGTTGGTTGTTTCTGACAACTGGCCAGCACAGGGATCCAACCCCTGACCTTGGTGTTATAACCCTTATGCTTTAAACAACTGAGCTTAACAAGCCAGCCCATAGAAAGTAATTTTGAATTGCATTCTGGTTATTATGAATATTATGTTACGGACCCTCTGGTTTCTGTTATATTTCTCCACAGGGTATTAATGTTTTTGTTTGTTAGACTCAAACTGCAAATTCCTACAGTTGAGCAACAACCCAAATACCAGTCCACTCCAGCCCTGCATCGAATCTGTCCCATGCATTTACAGTCCAAGGGTCAGCAAGAGACTTGGGCCGAATTTATTTTTTTATTTTATTTTATTTTATTTTATTTTTTTGAGACCGGCCGCACCGCGCTCAGCCAGTGAGCGCACCG